ATGCATACTGGGGTGGTGTCTTAAAAGCCTTATCCAAAGAAAAGGAGTATATCTGTCGATATGCTTCAGGAAGTTTTAACTCTGTTGAAAAGAATTATCATTCAAATGAAAAAGAATATCTTGCAGTAATAAATACTATCAAGAAATTTTCAATTTATCTTACTCCTTGCAAATTTACTGTCAGGACTGATAATAAAAACTTCACTTATTTCTTAAAAACTAAGATGAAAGGTGACAGTAAACAAGGAAGACTTGTAAGATGGCAAATGTGGCTTAACCAATATGAATTTGATGTGCAACACATTGCAGGAAACAAGAATGCCCTTGCAGACTTTCTATCTCGGGAGTTTAACGATTTTTGATAAAATATTTACAGGGTTAAGGCTTATCCAAGCACCTAACCAGTCACAGGCGGTGACAATAGGGAGTTGCTTCCCAGGCACTATTTGTGCTAGATAAAGCATCATCTGAAATGGATGAATTAGAGCAGCTTCGGTTGCAAGAAGGACTTCTAGTCCAAGAACTTGAATTGGTCCGCGCCAAAATCAAGTATGTAAGCTTGATTAAAGCTGAACAAAAAAGAGATTCTACTGTCTCTATTCCGATAATGGAACAAACGAGTAATGTAGCAAGCCTAACTTGTGAACAAAAAGAGGAAATTTCATCTCCTCCAGATCTTATAGATCTTGAAGGTGAAACTAGTCCAGAGCAAACGGCTACTGGTAAAGACTCATCAAATCCGTTAATAGCTGGCAACTTGCTAAAAGCAGCAATAGGTATTAAATTACCAACAACGTCGGATAATTCTGATGGTTTAAATCTCAGACCGAACGGTGGAACCTCTGTTCCTAAACAGACAAAATCACTTGACAGTGATAAGGGAATTCAAATCCCGAATAAAAAAGATGCAACATATTATGTCGTATTTAATGGCCCAAATGCAGGTATCTATCAAGACTGGGAGATTACCAAGAAGGCTACAAGTGGTATTTCTGGTGTTTCACATAAAAAATACAAAAGTTTCTTTGAAGCTCGTATTGCAGCAGATCAATACTCAAGAACAAATGCAACAGCTCCACTTGAGCTAATTTGCACAGCAGATGGACTTAAGCCCAACACATTCACTGCGGCCTTAAAAAAGCCTAGAAAACAAGAAAGGCTCCAAACCCTTGGAAAAATCCCCAAGAAACTCAATCAGGAAGTCCAACAAAATGAACAGATCAATCCGACCCAACTTTCAAAAGAAGGCTTGGACTATTGGGTTAATTTGGCCCGAAACAGTGGTGAAGCAGAAATCTTGACAGATAAATACTTCACAACAAATGGAAAGGACCTAAGGTTCTTCAATTTCATAAAAAACGCAAATCCAGAAATGGTAATTGAAGCGTTTGAATATGGAATGGTAAAAACCATATATCCCAGCCAGACCTTAAAAGAACTACAGGAACTACCTTCTAATGTTCTTAAGGCAATAAAAAACTACAGGAAAAAATGCATCCAAGGCGACAAGGATATTTTTCTAAAAATTATGAGTTCGGTACCAATTTGGCTCAACGATACAGTAATCCCAGCAAAACATTTAATAATGCTAGGGGTAATTTCTGGCGAAAAATTCATTAAACCAGAGATGAGAACGTTCCAACCAGTCAACCTCTGTGATATGGGACTTAATCGATATGAAACTCTAGTGGAAAAAACAATGGAGTTTAATTCGGACGATAAAGTGTTTGTGAATTACCAAGACAGAGACTATTTGGTATATTCAAAATCACTTAAAATTATGAACAATGAAGATGAAATCAAGATTATCAACTTCCAAAAAGGCATGTTACAAGAATTTCATCATACAAGAATCTGCAAGAAAATCAAGAAAAATAGAGAAGCACGCGGAAGCACTTACAACTGTCCAAATGCAAATTGTCAAGCAACAATCATGGTGGACCCTACCACTTTGGAAAAAGATTCCCAGACAACGTCAACATCATCCAGCTCACAAGACATGGAATAAAGTTAAAAGATAAGATGTGAGTGCATTGTGGGGGAAGTGTGTATTTTGTATCGATCCTCATTCCTTGATCTATAAAAGGATGAGTTACATTTCAATAAGGGACATCAGAAAATTAACCCAGAGTCTAGCTTGAAACTTTTTCTTTCTTTAATAATGTGTGAGTAGTGAAAGGTTCCTTCTTAGGAACTTGAGATTGTAATCAGAGGCTTGAATGAATAATTAATATTCATATCAGGACTCTTGTAAAATGTTTGAAGTTTGAATAAAATACCCAGTTTGTTTGAACTTGTGCTAAAGATCTTATCCTGGAGGCCGATTTGCTAATCAAAGGGAAGAAGTACCAGAAGGGAAAACAGTACTTGTGGCGCAGGCTTGGAATCGATCATTCAGACACAGAGATTCAAAATCAAACATAGAGGTAAACATTTATCCAAACTATAAAACATTTTATAAGTAGTCCCTTTGAATTATAATGGTTATGTCTTAAATAGCTCTCTGAGAAGCAGTTTAAAAGTTTCTAAGAAAGGAATTTTAATTTGTTTGAAAGAAGGTTTTCAAAGCCATAAATTAGAATAAATCTTTTAATAAAGTAATTTCTCTAGAATAAGAAATTATGAATTTTTTGCAATGGTATGATTTTTGGCATCTGCCAATGAAAATACATTATAGAGAAAGAAACGCTTTGAAATATCAGCGTAAACAATTAAGAGATCTTCATACTTTGTTGGAAGTTTATCAACGAAGACTTGAAGCCTTACAACTTGAGGAAGAACTTGAGTATAACAGGGCATTACCTGAGGATAAAATGGGTATCCTAAAATCTTATGGTTTCAGACTAAATGGTCTACATGGGTTAGTTACTTCTACCAAGAAGTCAATTAAGAAATCTGAAAAACAAGCAACTCTTTTGGGAGCTGCCTAAATTCATAGGTTTTGTTTAAGTGTTAAAAACTCTAACTTGCTATGGAAAATAATAATTTATGGCATATGCCAGTAAGAGTAGTGTTTTCAGATATAAATTGTCTTAGAACATTAAGAAAACAAATAATTCAGTTAACAGCTGACTTAAATGAAGAAGAACAAAGATTGAATAATTATATTCAAACTTATATTTCTGCACCTATAGAAATAAAACTAGCAACTATAGGAAGCTATGTTGATAATGTTAATAGAATGGTGTCACTTATTGTGGCATTAAAAGAATCAATTAAGAAGGCACAACAACAGAGCTCACTTCTTATGGCCTAAAAATGAATTATTCAGATATTCCGCATAAATTCCGCACGGGAATCAGCCCGTTAAAAAATCTTGGTATCAGAGCCTGATATCAAAGAAAAATCCTGTTGGATAATAGATCTTTTGATCAATATTTTCTGTATTCATTTTCTAATACGGAATTACAATACATAATGAGGAATACCAGTATTCGGGATCCCATCTTAAGGTGGAGACAGCTGGAAAACCTATTTATAATATGAATTCCAATACGGATAATGAAAACAAAAATATAGAACAAGATCTATGTTCTAATAGTGATCTTTCACAAGTTTCATTTAATGAAAATGAAAAAGGATTTAAAGCCAGTTTGGCAATAAAACATGATGTTTTAACTAAGATTCAAAAATCTAAGTTAAACCTTAAAAAATAAGAAGTCTTTAACATTCCAATGTTAAATTTCTTAAAACGGAAAAATGAAATTTTCTATTTTGTCAACACGCAAGAACTGCATGTAGACATAAGAGATGTAAAGGGAACGGTATATCTGCCTTTAATTACTAAAGCGGAAATACGAAAAAAATTAGAAAAGATTCCTTCTCCTATAAGAGGAAAAATCTCAACAATTCATCTCGGAGCAATAAAGATTTTGCTTAAGGCTGAATTTCAAGAAGGGATTGATACCCCTATAAAAATGGCACTAATTGATGATAGAATTAATGATAGAAAAGATTGCATATTAGGTGCAGCAAGAGGAAATCTTGCTTATGGTAAGTTTATCTTCACAGTTTATCCTAAATTCGGAATGTCTATTCAAACTGCAAATTTAGATAAAACTTTATCTTTCATTCACCATTTTGAAAGAGAAAATCTAATGAACCCCGGAGATAAAGTCTTTAGTGTTACATATGTTATAACCTATGCTTTGAGTAATAGTCATCATAGTATAGATTATAGGAAAAAATCTTATATTGAACTCGAGGACATCTTCTCAGATATTGGTTCAGTAGAAGAAAAAACCTTCTGTGAGTTAGCACCTCTAGAAGAACACTGGGCTATTGATATAGCTAAAGGGAAAACTTTGATAGAAAACAAAAATCCTATGCAAATTAAAGAAAACTCTTTGATTATAGGAGAATCAAGCAGATTATCAGTTTCAGAGAAACGTTCTCTAGCTGATATGTCAGATAGAATAGATAATTTATCCGGAATGTTAAGACAATTAACATCGGGATAAAAATCTAAAGGAAATAAATAAAAGTCAAAAGAAATCATAACCATTGATTGATGGTTCATCCTAACCATACACCTCACTTTGTCAACAAAGTTTGTCAACCAACTTTGTAAGCGTAGCATTGTCCTTGCAATTCAGTAACTCTAATGCTATTTCCCCGTCAGGTAATATAGGTTGCAGCCTTGGAGGATAAAGGCTGAAAGGACATGAAAAGATAAAGTACTTTATGGTAACTTTTGCATTTTCTAGTACAACTTCGGCAATTCTAAGGCACGCACGACTCCAGAGTTCGCGGGCCATGACACGCGCTATTCCGTCGTCTGTTTCTTTTGTTGTTGGGCTTGGATCTATTCGTACACGATTTCGGCCCAAGAAAAGCCCATAAAAAAACTGAAATGCCATACTACCCTTACCCTATAAGTAAATAACCAAACCAGTCCCAAAAGTTCACCAGATAGTAGACAAAATCTGTCAGCACTGGAAAATACTTTACAGTCTCACATATCCTCAGAACACATTCTAGCCGGTAACAACAAACACAAAATGGGTCTCCTGAAAATCTCCGACAACCACACTGCGGCACCATACAATGCCCCGATTGTCTCCTCATACAACGACCGCATCCGGCCGCTGCTCGACACCATCGACCGCCTCCGCCACCTCAATGTCGTGCAGGAAGGCATCAAGCTCCCCACAATCGTCGTGGTTGGCGACCAGTCATCCGGAAAATCGAGCGTCCTCGAGTCTCTCGCCGGCATCAGCCTTCCCCGCGGTCAGGGAATCTGCACCCGCGTCCCCCTCATCATGCGCCTCCGGAACCACCCAAACCCTAACCCCGAACTCTCCCTCGAGATCAGCAAAGACCGGAAGGTGCCGACCGACGAGGTCAACGTCGCCGACGACATCCGCCTCGCCACCGAAGAGATCGCCGGCGAGGGCAAAGGGATTTCAAACACCCCTCTGACTCTGGTCGTTAAGAAAAGCGGCGTCCCGGACCTCACCATGGTCGACCTCCCCGGAATCACCCGGGTGCCTGTCCCCGGCCAGCCGGACGACATCTACGAGCAAATCTCGAGGATCATCATGGAGTACATCACTCCCGACGAGAGCATTATCCTTAACGTCATCTCCGCGGGTGTGGATTTCACGACCTGCGAGTCCATCCGCATGTCCCGGCAGGTGGACCGTACGGGCCAGAGGACCCTGGCCGTGGTGACCAAGGTTGACAAGGACCCCGAGGGCCTGCTCGAGAAGGTGACCTCAGACGACGTCGCTGTCGGCTTGGGCTACGTCTGCGTGCGCAACCGGATCGGGGACGAGACGTACGAGGAGGCCCGGGAGGAGGAGGCTTGGCTGTTCAAGACGCACCACCTCCTGTCTAGGATAAGCCCGTCAATGGTCGGGATCCCTGTCCTGGCTCAAAGGCTCGTCCAGATACAGGCGAGCCTCATCCTCAAGTGCCTGCCCGACATCGCAAGTAAAGTCAGCGACAAACTGTCTTCCAACATGGATGAGTTGAGTCAGCTGCCGCGCACCATGACCTCTGTCGCTGAGGCCATGACGGCCTTCGTCCAGATTTTGGGCAACAGCAGAGAATCCCTTAAGAAGATTTTGTTGAGGGGAGAGATAGATGAGTATCCAGAGGAGAAGGATATGCATTGCACGGCCCGGTTGGCTGAGATGCTCAGCCGTTACTCTGATGATATGCAGGGCAAAGGCTCCCAGTACGAATCAACAGATAAGTTCTTGCTCGATGAGATTAGTGTTTTGGAGGAGACGAAAGCAATTGGACTTCCAAATTTCCTACCGAGGGCCGCTTTTCTCCTCCTGCTTGAGAAGAAGGTGAAGGGGGTGTCTTTCATGGCTTTTGAGTTCATCAACACTACGTGGGACTACATAGAGAAAGTGTTGATCTATGTCCTCACGAAGCACTCGGATAACTACCCACAGCTACTTTCGTCCATGAGACAAGCCGCCCGGAACCTAGTGGCCATGAAGAGGAAGCAGTCGGAGGTTTGGGTTCTGGATATGGTCGAGATGGAGAAGATGACGGACTACACGTGCAACCCTGAGTACATGGCTTTGTGGAGCAAGCTCATGGCCTACCAGAACAAGTTTACGGAGATTCTGAAAAACAACTCTATGCACGGGAATGTTTTGCTCATTGATGGGTACTGGAATGTTGATGTCTCGCACCTAAGGGGCCGGACTGGGGACGTGCATGAGGCATTTGACCTGAAGATGAGATTGACGGCCTACTGGAAGATAGTGTTGAGAAGGATGGTCGATTACATGGCCCTGCATTTGATGTTCAGCATACGCAATCTGGTGAACAAGGAAATGGAGATGGAGATTGTTAATGAGGTGATGGGTCCAGAGGGAAAAGCGATGGAGAGAATGCTAGAGGAGTCGCCTGCTGTGGCCGAAAAACGCAAGAAGCTCAATAATAGTGTGGAGTTGCTGAAGGAGTCTAAGAATGCGGTGGCCAAGATCATTGATAATATTTCTGGTATTAGTATGTGATGGTTTGGTGTTCTGTTTTCTTCTCCTTGGTGTTCAGCGTTCGGACTTTGGTTGGGCATTGTTGCTGTTTTGGAAGACTAATTTTAACCTTTGGTTTACGCTAGTAATCGTGTCTTGATGATTGCAATGTTTAATCTTTGGTTACACCTACTAATTGTCACTTCATGATTGCAAAGCAATACAAATCAGAACTAATTAATGGAAGGGCCATATGGATCTGTAGTAATGGTTGCTTTTATATGGATCTTTAGTAATGGTTGGTTTTATAATGAGTGCATGGTTGCTTCCCTAAACAAGACCAAATTATGCCCACTAATCTTATGTTAAGGTCCACATCTCTAGGATGGTAAAGTAATTAGAGGAGGGGTAAGATTATTTGGATCTCTGCATTAATCATGTAGGTCATATAATTAAAATAATTTATACATATATATATATATATATATATACTAGTACAACACCCGTGTATTACACGGGTGCTTGCTAATTTTTTTCTTAAAATCTAAAATTAATGAGAAAAAGTAGTTTGAAAATTTAAATACCTTTTATAAGAATATATATATTATTATATATTTATTATGATACTTTTTATTTGTGCAATTTACTTGTGTTATATTATACTAATTTTTTTTAACTTACAATATATAACTACATTACATATAAATATATCAATTGAAAAATAATTTTATTTTTCTAATGAATTTCAATAAATATTATTATTTTTTATTATTATAAAGATAAATATAATTTATTTATTTCATATATATACAATATGGATGTCAAATCGAAGATCATCAAAAGATGATTAATTTGATATATTATATATGTAAAACCGATAAGAAATACAAAAGTTATCAACTTTTAAAATACATTTATAATTCAATAGCTTATTGAAGGAAACAAATCAAAATTCAGGGATATATTTGTCACTTGGTGTCTCACTATGTAAAATTACAAAGAATTAAAGGGTTATATTAGTAAAAGTGATATTAAAATACCTAAATTAGCTAAATAATATTTATGGAATACCCGAACCTAGATTATTAATTATTAATATATCAATATTATTTATCCAAACCTAATTACGAAGCATGATTCTTCGCCAAATAGGATTCCGAAGCACCAGAAGCAGCCACGTAGGCTCAGCGCATTCTGGAATTATATATAAGGAGGATGTATATATATATATATATATATAAGAGATAACCTATTTACTAAAAACAGTGACAATAAAAGTTAACCAACATATTTACATTCTATTTTCGGCAGTTTTTTAATTTTCTTTTTAAATTATTACCAAAAAATTGAGCAGTTATAAATGTGCCCTAAATTTATCGGTTTTGTAGATTTGATTTAGATAAATTTCGATCAATGCTTACAATTTTTCAAAAAAACAAAATTCTTTATCATTTTTTAATTAAAAAAATTGATTATCATAAAATCGAGATTTTCGAATTAGGCAAAATACTATTGCATATATCTTTTCCTAATTACAACATATCAATTGTTTATTAAAAGAAAATAGATTGCATAGAAATCGAGTTAATTTAAGTAAAATTCGGCATGACAATATTGTAAAAGACAAAATTCTCTCATATTTTATTTTTTTTTTTAAAGAAAAAACTGTTTACCATAAAATTGAGAATTTTGAATTAGGCAAAATACTATGACATGTATCTTTACCTAATTACGACAGATCATGTTTATTAAAAAAAAAATGGATTGCATAGAAATTGGCCCAATTTCAAATTGATGATTGAAATTTAAAAATCTCATATCATTTGAATACTACTTTCTTTAATTGAGAATTTTTTTAAACATAAAACAAAGTTAGATGATATTAATTTGAAATTCAAAATGAAATCGGATTGTAACATCCAAAAAATTAGATTTTGTTTAATCATATAGAATACAAATTTGAAATTGATTGCATACACGTACACAATTTTTTCTTTCCTTAAATTAAGTAATTACAATGTTAAAATAATAAGGCTATGGATTACAAGAAAATATTTTACAATCTCCGTTATATTTAGCTATGCAATCTTCATAAAACCAGTATAAATCATATCATATATATGCATCATGCTAAATAATTTAATTGATTTATTTAAGCCTATTTAGAATCTTAATATATATAGATGTCAAGTGTTTAGTTTCTTAAATACGGTTTACACAGAGGTACGTTGTTTTCTGTTTAATAATATATAATTACATTTTGTTTTATTCATATACATGGTTTTTACGTTCTTTCAATCATCCAAATATAAATGTTTATTTTAATAAAATGAGCTCGTGCATTGCAAGGACTTTCAATCATCCAAATATAAATACTTATCTTAATAAAATTAGTCTGTGCATCTCACTAGTACCGCACTAGTAATTAATTATGTGATGTACATGAATAATAATGTATGTAGGTCATTACATAATGCAATATTAGAGTAAATATTTGCACATTAATTCCAAAATAGTGTATTTAAATATGAATTAATTTCTGCGAAATATGAGGACTCTAAATTCTAGCGTTTCGACCAAAAAAAAAATATAAAATAAAAAGAAAGTGAAAAAAGACTTAAATCATGTTCAACTATATAATTAATTAATTTACTTCCAAAGAAATTGAACTTATTATATATTAATTAATTTAACTTCAAAGAAATTTGACTTATTTTAGCTCAAAATATATTAACAACTAATGTGGACAGACCGTACGAGATATGGACATTCCCAAATCCCATTTCAGATTGTTGAAATACTTGAACTAATGCAAATGTTTACACCTAATAAGAATGTATAAAAAACAAATTCCTTATCTGCAACATTTTCATAATTTCTTAAAATAATTGTAGAATGATAAGATGTGAATCCCACAACCCATATTAGTTACCCAAGTGCTCCGTGAGGACCGAGATCAACATGTTCTTTATGTATGCCCACATAGTAAGCTTGCGTATGTCTCGTCCAACAGGCTAGTTAATCTCGTCGAATTGTTCTGGGAGCCTTGGATTTGGGCCAGCCAGCTTTATATTTTTTATACTCGCCGATCTCTCTAGCCGATGGTGCAGATCTGGGTCAGGTCGAGCTGAACTCGAGGGGGCGCGCTGGATGCTGATGAACTTGAG